CACCTGTAAGTCCTGTTCTACCTAGACGGTCAACACGAGTAAGTAGACCACCTGATAGGTATCAGGCAAGTTTGGTGTGCCAGATTAGTAAAATCCCAACCACTGTAGAAGAACTAAAATTGTATCCTGCAAAGGATCAGGAGAACTGGCATACAGCAATGCAAAAGGAACTGAATTCGTTAAAACAGATGGGAGTCTATGAGAATGCTATATTACCTCCAGGTGAAAAGTCCATTGGCTGTAAATGGATATTTAAATTAAAAACAGGTACAAATGGGACTGTTACCCATAAGGCTAGGTTGGTAGCTCAAGGATTTAATCAAACTGCATGTGATTATGATGAAGTGTTTGCACCAAGTCTAAAAGCAACAACCTTGAGAGCAGCTTTAGTGTGGGCAGCTAAGAAAAACTATATCATAAATCATTTAGATGTAGAAACTGCTTATCTGCATGCACCATTGCAGCACACTATATACCTAAAGAAACCTGTAGGAATTAAGGATGATAAAACTAATAATGACTGTTGGAAACTTAAAAAGAGTCTCTATGGATTAAAACAATCTGGTTACGAATGGAACCAATATATTGTTAAGGAGTTAAACAATATAGGGTTTAAAGCAGGTTTAGCTGATCCATGTTTATTCAAAAGAGAGACAAATGGAATAGTGTCATTATTATTGTTGTTTACAGATGATATTGCTTTAATTACAAAAACTAATAATGAAGCTACTGAAATAATATCATTATTAGGAAAGAGGATAAAATTAAAACAATTAGGAGAGATAAAACAGTATCTTGGATTGACAATAAATAAAACCAACGGTGGCTATAAGATATCTCAAGAGGATAAGATTTATCAATTACTAAAAACATATAAGATGGAACTTTGTAAACCAGCAAAAACTCCAATGAGTCAGGAATTTTGCCGGACTGATGCTCAGAGTTCAAAATTCGATAAGACTATCTATCAGTCACTAATTGGTAGTCTATCATACATTAGTAATTGGTCAAGGCCAGATATTGCCTATAGCGTTAATCAATTGGCTCGATTCAACGCTGAACCCGCTGAACGACACTGGCAAGCAGCAAAACGTATCTTAAGATATCTTAAAAGGACAATGCACTATGCATTGTATTTGGAGCCAAAAGATGATTTGATTTTAAGTGCATATGCTGATGCAAGTTTTGCAACAGATATAAACACTAGGAAATCAACTTCAGGAATGGCTATACTATTAGGAAAAGCATTGATTGGTTGGAGGTCAATTAGACAGCAACACATAAGTATGTCCACAATGGAAGCAGAATTTTCATGTCTATCCTTATTATGTACTGATTTAATTCTGTATAAACAGTTGTTATTGGATATGGGATTAACTGTTAATGATTCCATTGTTGTGTATGAGGACAATCAAGCAGCCATACAGATGGCTACAAATATTGCTGTAAAAACGAGATCTAAGCATACAGATCTTAGATATCTGAATGTAAGGCAATCTGTAAAAGATGGTTTAATAAGATTGGAGTATTGTATGACTGAACAAAATATTGCTGATCAGTTTACAAAAGCCCAAGGTGCAGTCAAACACAAAGAGAGTTGTGATGACTATGGGTTAAGGTTGTAAATAGATATATATATTATTATATTACCCAAAAGGGGAGAATGTTAGGTATAACATAGGTCACCTAACGTAGTTTGGGTAAAATAATATATATAAGCTATGATTGTTAGTTTAAGTGTGTGTCACTTTAAATGCAAAGCATGTAGTTTTGGGTGTGGTGTGAAACCACCATAAGAGGGAGCAAGACAACCTGATTGATTGCTGACGATTCCCTGACGGTTTGCTGGCAATTACTGACAATTACTGGATTGGATTACATTGATGGTTTGTTAGCTGCGTCCTTCCCCTACTGAAGAGTTGCTGAAGGAAGAGAGGAGTTTTTGAGTTCTTCATATCTCTCTACTGCGAGAAGATATATCACTGGACTGATATTTGTAAGTGTACTGACCTCTCTTTTTCAACACTGGAATTTGCAACTGAATAATCCCTGGACGGACTGAACTAAGTGAATGATATATGGACTGTTTTGACTATGCTTTAACTCTTGCTGGAATAAAACTATTTTAATTGGCACTGTGTATCTGGTTTACTGAGTGTAAGCTACAAAAACGTTTATCTCACGTATTTTGCCTGCCTGCCTGCCTGCCCTGCAGATCTTGCTAGGGTATATCCCTAACACCCACTATGAAGATGCAGCACGACCACGAACTCGAAGCTAAACAGCAAGATCACAGCTCACCAACTCAAATCCCCCAGCAACTAAGACTAACCTGAGTACAACCAAGCCCCCACCTGAACAGAACACGCCTCCAACCAATCAGAACACGGCCAACCCCCCAACCAATCAGAACACAGCCAAACCCCCTACCAATGAGAACACACCCTCACTAGCAGTTAAAAGGAAGAAGCAGCTGCAATCTCACATCACTCTGAGAAGCAAGAGCCGAAGACAGAAGCCTGAAGATGATGAATGAGACTTCATCGAAACGTTGCCTAGATACTTCGAATCTTACGCAGGAGAAAACCCGAACAACCAAAGATCCACATACAAATACCCACGAGAACCTCAGAAAATATATATATATATCGGTCCCACTTGCCATCCTTAGGATGGTGCTTTTGGCTTCATGCCAGTGCAAGCAGTGTGTGATTGGAGCTGCCGTCTCTCTATAAATACTGGTGGTGGGGGCCGGTGTGTTAGGCTGGTTGGCTGCGCTGCTGCCTCTTGATTGGTTGATGGAGTTAATGTTGGTATAATGGGCTGTGTGATGGCCTTGTGAGTTTTGTTGTGGAGATATCCTGGATCTTGTGCTGTAATCTCCTGGGTCGTTTGTTTTGTAGTGATCTTTTTTCCATTAGCCTCTCATGTTTTAACAGCTTGGGTAATGGGTTGTGTGATGGCCTTGAGAGTTCTTTTGTTGTGGTATCCTGGGTCCTATATTGTAATCTTCTGGGTTGTTTGCATTTTGATCTCTTTTCCATTAGCCTCCTGTGTAGTAACAGCTTGAGTAATGGGTTGTGTGATGACCTTGTGAGACTTATTGCTGTGGTATCCTTGGTCTTGTGCTATGATTTCCTGGGTCATTTGCTGTGTTGCAACTTCTTGAGTTCTTGTGGTGTAATTTCCTGAGTTTTCTGATGTGATATCCTGGGCGGGTGGCTGTGATGTAGTATTCTGGGTTTTAGTCTGGCTTCGAGTTTGGGGTCTGGGTCTGTGTTCTTGGCATGTGTCAGCTTGTTTGGTTTTGGGGTCAGGGTGCAACAGCTGGTAAAGCAGCCATGGTCTGTTTTCTGGATGGAGGTTGTCCTTCGATATTCTATAGTGGCTAGGGTTTTGGTGCCATTGAAGTCAATGCTAAGACCTGTTGCTTTCATGTGTTGGACTAATGTCCCCTGTGCATCATGCCTGCCACAAACATTGGACAGACCGATAGAAGAATCAATACCTGCCTGGATGAACACAAAAATGCAGTAAAAAAGCTGGAACACACTTCCTCACTAGTCCAACACATGAAAGCAATAGGTCATAGCATCGACTTCAATGGCACCAAAACCCTAGCCAGTGTAGAAAACCCCAGCTACAGAATTATCAGAGAAGCCATAGAGATTGAAAAAAGACCTGAAAGCATGAATAGAAGAGATGATTCCACCAGACTGTCAATTATTTGGAAGCCTGCACTCACAAACAAGCAAATCTCCACACCACAAGCCAGCCAAACACCTGGGCACAAACAGATACCTCCAGCTCAAACAAACCCCAACCAGGCACCCAGATGAAACCTAGCTCCCTAATAAATAATAGCCTCAAATACAGGAAGCACAATGTTGCCAGCCAATCAAGACAAAAAAAAGCCACAAAACAGACAGAAGACATTAGAAACACCAATCAAGCAGAACGCAGCAAACTCTAAGACCAGTAAACACAGACCAAGACTCCCAACCAATCAGGATGAAGAAAAAAACATTCTGGCACAGCAGTAGGCTAGCCCCAAATTTAAAACAGAAACGGCTGTGAAAGTCTGACTCACAAATGAACTCAATACAGAAGCCTGATGATGGCAGATGAGATTCTGCCGAAACGTTACAACTTTAAAAGCACAACTATAATGACGTGGGAAAATACCTGAACAAAGCTGAATACCATACGTATACATATACATATACATATTTATATGATCCTAAAATACTTCCCAGCAAGTTTTAGACTAAATATCAATATACAATATACCATGTGGTATCCCCCTTATAAATTCCCTAACCCTTATCTCTAAATTTTTCAGCTTTATTATTTCCTTTAATTTTAGCCAGCTTTCCTTTTCTAAATTTCCCTGGTCTTTCTTCTTTTTCCCTTGTGGTATTATTTTTATTCCCTTCTGCCTGTCAGCCATGTTTTCCCCCACCCTTTCCAGTTCCTTTTTTGGGGGGGAGGGGGGGTTCTTCTTATATGATTTTCTTCTTCTTCTTCTTCTTCTTCTTCTTCTTCTTCTTCTTCTTCTTCTTCTTCTTCTTCTTCTTCTTCTTCTTCTTCTTCTTCTTCT